CCCATTACTCTCTCTCTCTCTCTCTCGCTCCCTCTCTCTCTGTCGTGTGTGTGTGTGAATGTGTGTGTGTGTGTGTGTGTGTGTGTGTGTGTGTGTGTGTGTATGTACCTGTCTCTGTCTCTGTCTCTATCTTTTTCTCTGTAGCTCTGTCTGTTTGTCTGTCTGTATATCTGTCTCTCTGTCTCTATGTCTGTCGGTCTGTCTGTCTGTCTATATGTTTGTCTGTTTGTCTGTCTGTCTGTCGGTCCGTCAGTCTGTCAGTGTGTCTCTCCCTTCCTCTCTTCCTCTGTCTCTCCCTATTCCTTTCTTTCTCTCTCTCTCTGTCTACCTGTCTGTCTGTCTCCCTCTCTCTCTCTCTCTCTCTCTCTCTCTCTCTCTCTCTCTCTCTCTCTCTCTCTCTCTCTCTCTCTCTCGCTTGTTCGCTCTAAAGCTATTTTTCCTGGTGTCTATTTCTTTCTATCTATCTGTCTATATCTTTATCTATTTACCTATCTATCTATTTATTCATCTTTCTATCTATCTATCTATCTATCTATCTATCTATCTATCTATCTATCTATCTATCTATCTATCTATCTATCTATCTTATAAAGCTATTTCTTTTTAACTATATCTCATCCTCCAGATTTCTCAAGATAAACACTCAGTACTTTGACAGTCATGTAACAGCAACAGCGTAGCTAACCATCACACTTCATCACACCCCGGGTATCGGTAGAGACAAAACAAAACCTTTAAAAAAATTAGTAAAAATAAAACTACATCGATGCAGAAGTTTAAGCACAGAGGGAGCTTACGCAAGACCACCAAAGTCAGGACCAAGCCCGGTACACGCCGGCAGGATCTCGCCGTAGGTTTTCAAGCGCAGTGTAAACACCCTGTTGTTTTTTCCTTTGACGTTGGTCGCTTTGGGCAGCCCTATGAGGTCGATAATCACCTGAATGTTGCCACTGTTAAAACACCCAGTGCCCTGGAAAAGATCAAGACAATAGTAGAGTTAATGAGGTGTAGGCTACTAATGAAATATTACCCCGTTGCAACGTCTAATTAATATATGAACATTATCCCGTTGTAACGTCTAATTAATTTATGAACGTCAGACGGTTCCTAATTCGTTGCCCAGTTGCCGAAATTCGTCTTTGCCGGTTTATTTCATTCTTTTAGTTGCCTCATTTGGTGTTCATATAAGGCTTTCACGCGGTAATACAGGGTTACATAATAAGTCAATTGAACTTTACTGTACAAAATGTCATTTACATAATTTTTAAAAATAACATGCTGGGTACCCCGTTCGATGAACAGACTTAATCGTCAAGTCGTTCTGGGTTCAGTGCGCACAGCATGTAAACGGAAATGTGTCGAGAAAAGACTTTCGGTTTATATAAAAAACGAGACTGCGAAATTGTTGATCGTAAGTTAGCCTAGGCCTAGAACTCAATGTGTACGAAACAAAGCATTTTGGAAAAATAGGGGAAAGCAATTTGCGTGGAATTTTTAAAGTTAGGTCCTAGCCGCATGGATGCTGTGGACGCCTGCAAAGTTTCAAAGGCGTGGGTTAGGTAATAAGGGAGGAGTTTGTGCACAAAGCCTCCCGAGTCCACTTTTATATATGACCCCCCCCCCTCCCCCAACCACACTTTCTAGTATACTCTTTCAAGTCAACCATGTAGTTGTTTGCGTCAGAGGTCTTAACTGGGATCTGATGACGGGGTTTGTGGCCTTTTTTCAGACCCCCCCCCCCCAACCTCTGACACCCAAACGATAAGATGCAGAAAAATGTGAATAAACGATTTTAGGAATACAACATGTTATTTCGACCTCAGGACCATGTTTTCGTACCTCCAAGTGTTATGAGGAGACTTTGAAAAAAAATAACTTAAATCTTATACCAAAAACTAAAAGATCAAAAAAGGGGAGGTAAAAAGAAAATTGAAGTTAAAATATCCCAGAGAAAAGTGAGTTCTTGTTCTAATTCCAAGAGCAGAAAGGTGTGTCACACCAACTTATACAGAATTAATGCAGACAATATTTTCCAGGAACACAGCCAACACATACGGATGGTCTATATGAATGTTCAATCTTGTAGAAAGAAAACTGACGATATTTTCGACATCATCATAGAGAAAATTATTGACATCTTTTTTCTCACCGAAACTTGGTTAACACCATGTGGTAATAAGGTAACACTCGCTTATTTAGTAGCCCCAACCTACATCGTTAAATCTTTTCCGCGCCAAGGTCGAAGAGGGGGAGGCATTGCTGCCATATACATAAGTTTTTTTAACCTTAAAATAACAACTAGTGCACTTAAGTGTGACTATTGGAACGTTTGAAGCTATGAATTTATCTATGGATCTTGGTTCCAAATTTTATGACGTCGTTTGTATTTACCGCCCACCATACAGCAAGATTAACAAGTCAACGGCGTCTGCTTTCTTAAAAGAATTTGCAAAGTTTTTATCATCATTTTCGGTCAAGAAAGGTTATCGTGTTGTGTTTGGTGATTTCAATTTCCACTTTGATTCTCCATCGTCACCTGGAGTCAAACATTTGACAGAATTATTCAGACAGCACAACTTGGTTCAGGTCATCACTGAACCCACCCATCGTTATGGCCCCACACTTGATGGGGGTCGTCATCAAAAAAGACTCAAACGCTTTTAGAAAAATGTATGTTGTAGACAAACTATTCTCTGACCATTACTTCATCTTACTTGTGTTGGATGTGACTAAGACCAAGCCTGAAAAACATTCTGTGTCTCCAAGGAACATCAAAGGAATTGACATTAATAAGTTTAAAATGGATTTGTTGAAATCTTTAAGTAACTTTCAAACAGTCTGTGTTGATTCGTATAATTCCACTGTTAGGGTAGTTGTTGACAAGCACGCACCACTTGTAACTCGTCGTCTGTCGACTAGACCGTATGCACCAAGGTTCGGGGTTGAGGTGAAAGCGGCCAAAATCGAAAGCAGGAGGGTAGAGAGACAATGGCTCAAAACAGGGCTCACCATCCACAAACACATTTTTAGATTAAAGAAACAAGAGCTGAAATTTGTAACTAAATGTAATAAAAAGAAATACTGTTTCTAGATTGGAAAATTCAAAATCATGTAAACAATTATTCAACATTTGTGATGAACTATTGGGAAGGGTGAAAGAGACACGTCTCTCGAATTCTTTTAGCGATCAATAACTACACGAAAAGTTTGCTGATTATTTTACAGATAAAGTCCAGAAACTAAGAAACGACCTTGATGACTATGAAACATGTTGTGATTTTGATGTATATGATGGGGTGAATCTTGATAAGTTTAAACCTGTTTCTGAAGAATGTATTAAATCTGTAATTCTAAAATCCCCTACCAAACATTGTGATCTCGACCCTGTCCCTAGTTCTCTGTTGTCTTCCTGCATTGACGAACTGACCCCATTTATTACTAAGATCATAAATAATTCTCTAGTGTATGGATCAGTACCAGATTCGTTTAAAATCACTCTTGTAAAACCTTTGCTAAAGAAACAGAAATTAGATCAGAATGTCTTAAAGAATTATAGACCTGTTTCAAATCAACCTTTTTTGTCTAAAATCCTCGAAAAGGTTGTCCTCGGGCAGCTTCGTCATCACTTACAAGAGAACAATCTGTTAGAGCCATTCCAGTCTGCCTATCGAGCTAACCACAGCACAGAAACAGCACTTCTTAAAGTCATGAATGACATGTTTACCGACTGTGATTCAGGAAAAGTTTTTTTGCTGAGCCGTTTAGATCTATCAGTAGCTTTTGATACAATTGCCCATCATTTTTTATTGAAGCGATTGGAAGTGTCTTTTGGATTATCTGGGACTGCCCTTGGCTGGTTTTCTTCTTACCTGTCAAATCGTTACCAATCTTTTTTTATTAAAGGGCTTAAGTCATCAGATCTTGCTCTTAAGTATGGTGTCCCCCAGGGCTCAGTCCTAGGTCCAGTTTTGTTCACCATTTATACTCACCCACGTGTCAAGGAAATAGTTAAGTATGACTTAAAATACCGTTTCTATGCTAATGATTCTATACCCAAATTTATGGTTCAACATTGTTTACCAACTTAGATGAACTTGTCCATCGTGCTGAAAATTGTATTGCCTTAATGAAAAACTGGATGAGCAAAAATAATTTGATGTTGAATGATAATAAAACAGAAGTCATTCTGGCAGGCAATGCAAAGTCTGTTAAAGAGGTTGACCACGATCATATTACAACTGGTGATGCAAAAATTGTATTTTCAAGAAAAAATAAGAATCTTGGCATTTATTTTGATTCCAGTTTGTCGATGTCGGCTGAGGTAAATCATCTGATCAGCCGCATGTATTAAGAAATAAGAAAAATTAGTAAAATACGTCATCTGATCAATACTGAGTAGTATACTGATTTACTAGTAACTAGCTTAATTTTATCCAAAACTCGATTATTATAACTCCTTGTTATCTTGTTATCAGGAATATCACTGGAGAAAGTAAAAAGACTTCAAACTGTCCAAAACAATGCTGCACGTTTAGTTTTACGGAAAAGAAAGCGAGACTCTGCTAAACCTCTTTTACGAACGTTGCATTGGCTTCCTGTTGAGAAATGGATTGTATACAAGTTGGCAACCATATGTCACAAATGTTTGAATGATAATGCACCATTATATTTATCAAATCTGTTAAGGCTGTACATTCCAACTCGCAGTTTAAGGTCATCAGCTGACAAAAAGAAATTTATTTTACCATCTATGAAACTTAAAACAATGGGTGAAAGGGCATTTGAATACCAAGGCCCCAAGATCTGGAATGCTTTACCAAGTACTTTGAGAGAGATCAAATTTTTTGATTCATTCAAATGTCAGCTGAAGTCGTTTCTGTTTTTAAATTAATAAGATGAATATTTGGAATAATTTTCTTTAGTCAGAACACAACGTTTTATGTTACTGTTGTATGTTGTACTGTATTGTAAAGCGCTCAGAGCCTGTGTACTTTATTCGGGGTTGAGCGCTATATAAATTTCATTTATTATTATTATTAAATCAAACATAGATTTCTGTTATAAAATAATACAATTCTTTACCCCCCCCCCAAAAAAAAAAACCCACAACAAACAACAACAACCCAACAACAAACAACAACAACAAACAAAAAAACAACAACAACAACAACAACAACAAAAACAACGTTTCAGCACTTGACATTGAATGGCCACGTAAATCCTGCCCAGCAACAGAGGAGTTTCCGTGGACGATTCTGATCCTGAAACGCGCAAACCAATTATTGGATCGGATGCATGTCTTTGTCTTGTTTTGGTTAGAGTTTTACAGCCTTGCAACTGCCTAGGGTAATATGAGCGCGTAGGATACATAAAACATTTTCAGTCTTGTAGGAATCAATTTTGAACTTTGCCCTGGTGGTAGCCGAAGTCTACTCTCATCGATTTTTTACCACCAAGAAATCTTAAACATGCACAGCTTGCACACGAGATCTCTGAGATTTCTTTGCCTATTTCCAAGAAGCCTAGGTGTTAGATCTTACCTACATTAAGATGCTGGGTATGTATGAAAAAGTTGCAGTATGAAGTAGCCAAGGAGTAACAGTAGAAAGAAAGTGTGTAGAAAGAGTCAGTAGCCAAGAGGAGGGAGCAAAGGAGTTTTGTTCTTTTCTTTTGGAGGGGGGTGGGGTCAGAAAGTGGAGACGAAAGCAGACGCCGGAACATGATTGGAGAGCATGAAAGGAGAACATTTAAAGTAGAAAATCTTTCGTCACTGTCTTATTCGAACTCGGAACCTACTGAATTAGAGGCGGACACTGTAACCTCCAGACCACGAGAGCCCCTTAATGCCTGTGTGTCCCGACTGCATGCCTCCCTTATCCCGGTGGAGCCGGCCGGCCCTCTTTCAAAATGCCTCAAGTGTTGCAATATCTTTGCTTGACTTATAACTTATTCTGCACGCACAGTAGTGAC